TTTTATAATATCCTAACATGCAATGTTAATGCCATCTGTATGCAGATACTGCTTTCATTCATAAATGTCAGTTTTCTAAAAAAATTACAGATGATTTTGATGTTTTTGTCTTTTAAATTTGTAAACCTTTAAAATAAAAATCAAACTTTTCCATTTTTATTGATCTCGGGTGTTTTTCCATCATCTGCGTGTTTGTGTCTTTTTCTCTGTAAATTTAGATGAAACATTTCATCTCATAAGTTCTGAGCCGGCTGGTTTTACTCGCAACCTTTTTCTCTTCGGGTCACGTAGAGCAGAAAAATCAGGAGAGAGACTGAAGATGGAACTCAGTGATGCTACGTCTTAGTTTGATTTGCACCAAAATCTAAAAGCTCAAACAATCAGCAGCATCCCTGCTGCACCGGGGCACTTTAGTTCTGAAGGTTAGCAGATGTATCAGAAGCAGATCCTTTTTCAGGGCTCTGAGATGAAGCCGGACGGAGAAAAATACCTTTGGTCTAAAAACAAAAGAATCTGCCAGTCTCAATCGCTCGCTTGTTCTTCTGGTCCCTCACCCTTCCTCTTTGCTGTCCTCAGATAACTCCCCTCCCCCTCCCCTCTTCACCCGCTGTCTTACATCCTGGCTCTCCGCCCGGGGCCCCTCTCGGCCACAGCGGCGATCGGGGCCTCACGGTGTCATTTGCAAACTGTCCCAAACAAAAAACTCCATTCAGCTCCACGCAAAGGAGCAACCACAGATTACACACACACACACACACACACACACACACACACACACACACACACACACACACACACACACACATTTCCATGCCTGAATCCGTCACGCTTCCTCATCTTTCTCTTAAAGTGTTTAATTAATGAATGATTTTACACCCTGCTGACTTTTCCTGCTGGCGTTTCAAACACCTACAAAGACGCGTCTGTTTCTGCTGGGAATGATTTCACTTCATCAGAATGATGCCAGGCCTGTTCCCGAGTTTTACTGATCGCCATAATCACGATTAGAAAGTAAATAAAAGGCAGCAGAGGTTTGAGTAAAATGGAAGAACACAGATTAGTGACAGAAAAGGTGTTGGCTGACGTTTATCAAGTATGAACATATCTCAGTTTACTATTTCTTTATATCAAAATTCTCAAAAAGTTGTAAGTTCGCATGACATGTGAGTAAAAACAGAATGCATTGATTTTATTCACAATAGAAGACAAAACAAATGAAATGTTCAAACTGACATGTTTATTATTTCATGGCAACAAGACGTTGTTAGCTGGAGGCAGATTTTACAGGTGACTGCATCTATTCCAGCAGCACGGCTTCGTAGGAGAAAAGCCGCTGAACCGGCCCACCATCTGGAACATCTGGAGCATCACGAGGAAAAACAGGATGAAGCTGAGCAGCTGGAATCCTCCATCAGACTATCACAGACTGATGTTAGAGAAGAGGACGCTGCTCAGTGGCAACATGGACAAAAATATTTACATCTAGCAAAACTTTTTAAAAATATTAGCCACTTTATACTATTAATATTTTTGGCATAAATTTTATGAGAAAGAGAAATCAGTAGAATTTCTGTCTTGTGAAAACTGACGTTAGCTAAAGTTAAATATCAAGATTTTAAAGATGAAATTATTTCAACATCCGGCTGTGACCTCACGGTGACCCTGAGCTGGATAAGGAGAAGATAAAACACCTACTGTCACATCGCCGCCCCCTGGTGGTGAAGGTTTTAGTTAGGTTTTGCAAAGGGTAATCAGGCAAACAGAGAAAGCTGAATCACAAATGTGCCTCGGCACGTTTGTTCAGGAGCTTCACTCACTAAATAAGCCGCACACAGCGCAGTGATCAGGCTCTATCAATCTGGTTTTTAAGTGCAAAATATCAGTATTCTGCTGAACTGCCTGTGAGACCTGAATGCACGGTGGCCCTCAGAGGCCAAACGAACTGCAAATAGAAAACTCTGCAAAAGCACATAAAACACAACAGAAATGGGAAAACAATGCAAAAGGAAAAAGAAAAAAATCTGGAAAGAAATCAGAAGTGTTTCTGGGAAAGTGATTTGATGGAAGTGTGGCGGTGGATAAGTTTTAAATGGCCGACAGCCAAAGAGTAAACTTCTAAAAGTGTGTACTGCGTTTAATCTCACTGATTTATGTAGAGATACAAATGTTGGCAAAGTCACGTGACATTAGTGATCTCAGTGCAGCTCAGGTTCCACTTGTTTTTAAAGCCTTTATGACGCACGGCGTTCACAGACTGACATCAACCTCACAGAGCGGTTACGATGTTATAGATAAATAATGGCAGAATATCCCAAAACGGAACATGTGACACCCACACACATGCTGGGAACACTCAGCTGAATTTCACTTTTACAGTGATGCACAAACATCAGGGTCGATTACACTAAGCTGGTTCTGCTAGTGGTGTCGAGCTAAACCGACGTTTGTTTTAAGGAGAAACGAGTTTATTCACAGGAGCCAGACGCTTGGCCAGTGGGGGAACATGTAGCTCTCATCTTATTTAGTAGCCCTAATACTAACACAAACAGGAAGTACTCCTTGTGCTGTTTCTGTAGTTCTGTACACCACCTGAGCCCGTCACCTCTCTGTCTGTCCTTCACGTTCCCCTTCTCTCTTTCTCTTTCTTCTTTTTTTTTATACAGGTAAGCTTTCAGACAAATGTAGGGGTACCATATATTAAAAGAACAATATTTATCTCTTTCATAGATAATGCATCCTTATATATCAATCAATCAATCTTTATTTATAAAGCACTTTTCATACAAAAAATGTAGCACAAAGTGCTTTACATAGTTAAAAGCAGCCCACCCCACCCTCCAACTCACTCCCTGCACTCTCATTAACATAAATGATGTGAATACACACATATCTCCCCCCACCCCCCACCCACACACACGCACACTTAAAGAGTAAAAATTGGGCTGGGTTCACATGAGCCAAGTGAGGAAACACTATCACAGGGAGCCGTCTGCACCGAGAGCCGGTCACAGACCGCAGCCTCCAGGCCGGGCACACAGCAGGAGGGAGGCAAAGGAGGCCCCCAGCCAGGCTGAGAGGACCCCCAGAGACCCAGCAGCCACGGTCAATAACAGCCCCGCAGAGAGTGCCCTCCGAGGAAACACTGGAGATATGACACAATAGGATATATACAGGGTAAAATGATAAAATAAATAAGAACGGGATACAATATAAATATAAATAGAGTAAGAAGATAAAAAAATGGATAAGAATAAAATCAATAAATATTAGGTAAAGCCTAAATTAATAATAGAATAACAGGATAGAATAAATAAGCATAAAATAAATAAACGCTAAGTAAAAGCTAAATTAAAAAGGTGGGTCTTGAGCCTGTTCTTAAAAACATGTACGTTCTCTGGGCCCTGAGCTCCTCCGGCAGGCTGTTCCACAGACGAGGACCATACCACTGAAACGCTGCCTCTCCGTGAGTATGTGTCCTGACTTTAGGGACAATCAAAAGGCCAGTACCAGAGGACCTCAGGGTCCGCGAGGGTTCGTATGGTAAAAGCAGATCTGAGAGATAAGAAGGCCCAAGACCATTAAGACATTTAAAAACCAATAAAAGAACTTTAAAATCGATCCTGACACACACGGGGAGCCAGTGCAGCGATTCTAAAACCGGTGTAATGTGGGCCCGCCCTCTGGTCTTCGTCAGCACACGAGCTGCCGAGTTTTGTAAGTTGTAAAGTTGAAATATTCTTCTTAGGGAGACCAGAGAGCAGGGCATTACAGTAATCAATGCGACTGGTAATAAAAGCATGCATCAGCATCTCCGTGTTGACCCGAGAGAGAATAGGGCGGACTCTGGCTATATTTTTTAGATGATAAAATCCAATTTTGGTCACATGTTTAATATGTGGGATAAAACCAAGCTCAGAGTCAAAAATAACACCCAGGTTTTTCACTTGTAGCGAAGGACATAGTGAAAATGCCTCTAATTTAGACAAGAGTCTCTCTCTCTGAGCCTCGGGACCAATGATTAAAACTTCAGTGTAAAGGATATTTGTCTTTGAGATGAACAAGATACAAAGTGATAGGAAATAGAAATAACTGCACCTCAAATGGTATTTGAAACAGGTTTAAATTTTCTAATTGAATTCATCTAATTTAATACAATAAATGTAATGTCTGACATATTATATGTACATTAAATTACCAAAGTGTGATAGACAATGGTCTCATGAAGTATATTAGCTTGTTGTTTTTAACTAGCTAATCTTAAAATGACTGTCTCTCCGCCTCAGATATATCACATACCAATGTGAAATCAGTCAAAATAAGATGATAAAATGTTTCCAGCGGCTAATGTCTTGGTTGCTAGGTAAACTGGGCAGCGCATCGTGGGCTAAACTGTCCCATTTCACAACCTCTCTGGGAAGGCAGTCTTCAAACTCTTTGAAGACTGGGAACCCGACCGGCACCGAAATGTATGAAGGACCACACTGAGTTTGCTGTTTACTGTTAGCTTGTCACTTCCGCATCCGGTCCGTCAAGTTACTATGTCGCCAGATATATATATATATATATATATATATATATATATATATATATATATATATATAAATATATATATATTTTTTTATTTTTATTTTTTTTTAACCAAAAATTGTTGTATTTTGTGCACTTTTGCAGCGTGTTTCTATTTGCCTGTGTTTTCTTAAGTTGCTGTCCCTACCCTCACCTCTACACTCGAGCTTTTCCTTCGTCATGCTCCATTTGTAACATGTTTGATTTGGCGCAGGATGCCCTGTCTTTCAGTTTCTCGGGACTTGGAGCAAACACTAACAGTTTTTAAATTCTAATTTTTCAATTTTTCAATTATATGTAAAAAAAAAGCCTTAGCCCAAATGGTCTTCCATAGATTGATCTGTAAACGTTCAGCGCTTCCGCTGATTGGTGGAGTGGCGCATGCGCGGCGCAACCAAAAGAAAGAACAGACTGATGGGAACAGGAAGTCCAAAATGGCGATGGACGGAATGATGTCCACGTCCTCGGGTCTATCTTATCACAATGCCGGGGACTTTTACCCGAGAAAGTTCGGCCCGAAGCCGGACGTGGTGCCGTCCGGGGTGACGGAGAGGAAGGTGGGGCCGCTGGATAAACCGGACATGGTGTCGGTGGATGTCCTCAACATCAAGGATTCAGGTTTGTTATGCTAGCAGGCTAATGGCTAACAACACGTATTCAATCAGCTGCTCCGGAGTTTACCGACTAGTTACCGGCTGAAACGACACTAGCACCGTGGCTAACGGCCGGTTTGAGTCAGTTAGACCTGTCGTCTTTTTTTGGTGAGGGCTGTATCCGGATAATCAGTTCGTAGAAAGCAGTTTAACGTTTAAACGGCGTATTTGCACTCCTCCACCATTCCTGCTTCCTCTCCTTTAATGGAAAAGGGTGAAGCAGGAGTCCTCCACCGGCTCCCGTGTTGCTGCTAAATAATCAGCCTAACGTGACTCTTTTGGTCCTTCTTGGTGGATCCAGCAACAACCAGCACAGCTGTAAAAGCGACAGGCTCACACTCCAGGGTTAGGGCCATCTTTCTGCTGGAGTCAGCAGAACCTGATGGTAACTGCTCCATTTCATCTTATTGTTAAAGAAAGACTCACTAATATCTGATCGCTACACCTGTGAAGTATGTGTGCAGGTATTTTATAGGAAACTAGTTCCTTTTAGATGGAGAAGCTGGAGGAGACAGTGGATGGAAGAATCTTTTCATGTCCTGCTGTCTCGTGGTTGATGTGAGATCAGCTGAAACATGCTCAGTGTGTTAATATCGGTTTGGACCTCTTATGAATAATCAGATAAATCTTTAAAATTGTCAACCACTTGGATCAAAAACACCCTTTTGCCGAACAATGGAAGGGATCTGATCTGTGGAAAGCCCTGGTTAGATTGCTGACCTGACTGTCTCTTTGCTACAAGATGAAGGATCAGCACCTGCAGCAGGTGGAGAACTGGTTTATATGCAGCTCTGATGAGTTAACGGAGGCTGCAAAGCAGAAAAATGTGCTCCAGCTTTAAATGTAGTTCTTCTGAGAACTAGTGATGGTGCATGGCATCGAGGACCACATCAGCTGTGACCCAGTCAATCAAAAGCTGGAAACCTGGAAAACCTGAGACGGGACAAACGTTTCTGTCCTATAAGGCTGTAATCACACTTTTAAGTCCTTCTGTAGTTGTGCTGTAACACACTGACTGATTTTTGTCGTCCACAGACGTCCCGATGCACAGGAAGAAGCACGAGCACGACACCTACGTCCTGGTGAGTTTCCTCAGGTTTCACAGTCATAGTTTCTCTCTTATGTCTCCAATGGTCCACGTGGGCTCAAACACAGTCACACTCCGAGGAGTGGAGGGTTGGCCACAGAGAGAGAGAGAAATTCTCTCCAGTGTGACACTGGAACAAAGGATTTGTAGAAAGAAGGCAGGCAAAGCTTTAATTAAGGCTTTCATGTGTGATGCAAAACAGTCATTTGTCAGAAAAATGCAGATATTAAATATTTAAATGAACATACTCTTTGGGGTAAAGTTTCTGCAGTGTTGTTTTTCTGGGTTTCAGCTGTTTTTAAGCACACGTTTGGGTTTTACAGAGTTATTAGTCGTCATCTGACGACATCAAAAAGCTGAAAACTGTTAGACTCAATTTGGTGTCACCTCAAAACATTTCTGTCTTCTTTAAAATCCGCAGAATTTTAGCTGAAACCCTGGTCTGATCGTTCTCAGTGCCTCTAATGTGAGTGCTGCTTTGGCCAGGCAGTCATCGTGTGCTGCTGTGACACTTTCCCTGCATGAATCTGTCAGCCCGTCTCTGCACATTTCCCTGGAAAAGGTCTCCAAGCTTTGGAAAATGTAAAGGAGGGCGTCTGAACTTTGAACTGTATTTTCAGGCGTTTTGCTGCTTTCCTGCTGATAAAGAGCTCATGGCTGATTCATACTGCACCAAAGTGACCGATAAACAATTAAATGTTAGAATTAACATTTTACAGAAAGACATTTTTCCATTTTCTACAGCAAATCTGTGTCTCATGAAGAAAAGCTGAGATGTGTGATTTTTGTTTTATTAACATGTAGCAGGGATTTTAAATGTGTAATTAAACTTGTTTACACTGACAGAAGGCAAAGTTTCACTCGTCCAGCCCATGAAGATCAGAGTGGGCTTCGTGGATCTGACCCAGGATGGAAAACTGAGCCGACTTCACTGTGATTTATTTTCCTTCAGTGTTACAAACTTAGAATAAAGTTGTTCTTGAGGTTATCGGGAAGCTGAAATAAATGTGCTACAACACGCAACCACATGGTGGCGGTGTAGGTCAATGTTTGCCTGCCGCTCTTCTGGACCTGATCGTAGTTTAATTTCACTGACAGCCGGACCGAGGGCTTTTATTTTGCTTCTCATGGCTCTTCCTCGTGTGCTTTGAATTTTCAGGGGACTATTCACCCGTTCAGGAAGACGCACAGATCCATCTTTGGGAAGCTTCTGCAGGAGTTCAGGCTGGTGTCCTCAGACAGACGAGTAAGTGATGAAACATGTCGTGTCCTCTCCGGGCTTTGGTTGTTCGGCCTCCTCTCGTTTTCACTGAGCGGCGATCATCTGAAGGATCCCGATAAGCTGGTTAGACGCTGTGTGTCATACGCCGAGCCCAGCCCAAACACCTCCTGTAATCCTGTTTTCCTGAAAGGTCACCGTGTTCCAGCAGGGATGAAACCCTCAGAGGAAAACACTGTCATTCGTGAGCTGATTTCACGTTCTTTAGCTCGTTAAAGGTCCTCGGAGCGCCGGCAGAGCCTCCGCTCATCTGCTTCCTGCTGTCATCTGTTTTGCTGCTGCTTTTTGGTTAAAGTTTAGAATATTCCCTCTGATTGGAAGATTAAACCGAGCAGAATTTAGGATTTTAGTAGCAAACCTTTCCCTTAAACTTTGATGAGTCAACCTGTGACTCTGTGCAGTTTCAAAATCACCAAAATCTGTTCAGAAACCAGCTTTTATTATTTGTTCCACACTAGATGAGCCGTGGCAGGTACAAACAGCCCTGTGGTGAGCTCTGCATGATTAACAGCTCAGAATAATTTTTCTTATACGGCACCCTCAGTTCATCCAGTGTGAGACAAGCTGCTTTAGCTCCTCCTTCCTCCAAAGACTTTCTTCTGATTGGCTGCTTTTGGAAAAATAAGGTTTGAAAAGCAGGTGGGTGGGGCTTCTGCACATGAGTCTCTCTCTCTGACATCATAAAGACCTGTAGATTAAAAAAAAAAGACTGAAAGTTGTTTTATATGAACATGCAGCGCTGGGTGTTTTAACTGCAATGGTAAAAACTCACTGGGAATACCACACACACCTTATCGCAGATCAGGCTTACTTTGAGTGTAAGGTTTCATTTCTATGAACACACAGAAGCGAGATTTTTGGCAGTGAAACCTTTGAGTTTGTGTTTGTGCTCCGTCTGAGTGATATTTACTTCAGCTGTGGCTGATGTAGGTGAACAGTCTGTGTGAAAAAGAGGGAGATCCATGTGGACTTCCCAAAGTCTGCATGTATGTGCTGAATTGAGTGAAGAGGTCATCAGATTAAAGGATGTGTGGATATATTATGTGTTTTTAATTTAAAGTCTCCTGTGTCACTCCTACTCTCCCTCCAATGACCAAATCACAGGCTGTAAAAGCAAATGGCACGCACTCACCAGGATCACCCACACCAGGAGGCGGCTAGTCTCTGTGGGTGATCGTCGTCAGCCTGTCACTTCATTTGGTCGATGTCCACGCTCGGTCTGGATCCAGATAATCCTTTAACATCAAACTCCAGGCCTTTAAAACAACCCTCCATCAACCCCGTGAGGTTTCCACCACCTCTGACTTATTAGCGGCGTTTCCAGCAGAGATCGCTGCTCGGTGACCAAATCTGGGCACATTTAACTCTGAAGTTTCCTTTCAGTTCTGCTTGAAACGGGAGGTGCTGTGGAGCTAAAAGAATAAAAGATGAAGTGAATAAACAGTCATTAGAACTCGTGCGGTTTAAAAGCCAGAGAATAAAAAGGGAAAGAAAGACTGAGCAGAAATGGGAACACGCTTTTATCACGCTCAGGTTTGGGTTTCTTTCTCTGGGTCTACCCCGAGGTTTCCTCCCAGCTGGATGTCCTCAGAAAACCTCCAAAGGGAGGCGCTCTGGATGCATCCAAAGCAGACGCCTGAGCAGCCTCAGCTGGCTCGCTTTCAACACGAAGGAGCAACGGATCTATTTTTAACTCCTCCGCTTATCTCTAAGGCCAGGCTGGGCTCGTAGGTGAGCATTTAGCGTCCGGGCCTGTATCATCATCACGACCTGAAAACTTGGATCCACGGAAAAGGTGAGGACTTGGCCCCGGTATTATTTTAACACACACATCAGATCAGTGCTCGGGGTCAACCGATTCCCAAAGCTGCAGTATCGGAGGAGAACGGGAAAAAGTTGGATCAGTCCATCACAAAATGTGAAAACATCTCCAGCTGTAACAAGCAGAATAATCCCAGTGTATAAAACAAACAAACAAACAAAAAACAAAACGGTGACATGGAATAAATATACTGAGTGTCCTTTGGTTAACTCTCCTTCCTCACTTAACTCTCACTGAAACCCAGCTGTCCTCGCTCAGAGCTCAGATCGTCTGAAAGTTCCTAAATCTGAGCAGCTTGAATTAAATGCTGGTAGGAGCTGTGTAGTGCAAATGTTAGTGCTTCAGACATCGCACACGAGGCTTGTGTTCATGCCTGGTTTTCCTGCTTCTGGCTCCTGCTGCAGCCTCCGGTTCAGCCGCCTGCTGTAGGCGTCTCGTCAGCATCTCTCGCCCTTCCTGCAACACGACTTTAAATCCCAGGGAGGGTTCTTCTTCTGCGATTTCCCCCTGTACACATAAATTAAATATTCAACAACAACATAAAAACAAGGAGCAGAAGCAGAGTTTGTACTGATTCCTGCTTATAAATAAAAATACAATTACAGTGCATTAAAAAATAAGGTAGAGCCAAAACAAAACAGGCACAGATGTGGAGCTAAAAATGTTTCAGAACAGGACAAAAAAAAGCAAAAACACTGAAGGCATGGTAATGAATGTGAAAGGATTAAATGTGTGTGTGTGTGTGTGTGTGTGTTATTGTGCTATAATCCACTTTGGTGATGCACTAGCAGGGGGTCCAGCCTCCCCGTAGAGCCCGGGATTGGATTACGCAGTGTCGTACACGGCTTAGCGACCAAACGCGATTCAAAGCAGCAAAAGTTGAGACGTGCTTCCTCAGCGCCTCGCCTCCAGTCTCCGCTTACATCTCCTGTTTGTGCAATAAAGCTCGTCAACATCTGATTTGAGGTTTTATCAGCACGATGCAGATATTTTTACTGATCGCTGAAATCTGCAGGTTTCATGCCATAAATGCTGACATTAGGTCTGTGAAACGAAGTCGGCATCAGACTCTCGCTGCCTAAATGTGCCTCAAAATGAACACGCGTCCTGCGCCAGCTGGGGGATGGCCTTTGTTTCCTAATGTCAGCCAAGCGGTCACATAAAGGTGGTTACCAACTGGAAAAGTCAGCACGGGCTCTCCCAGTCTGACTACGAGTTCGTGTGAAAGAGGCACAAACGGCGAGCTGTGTGTGATGATGGAAAAAGAGTAGTATGTAGACCAGGGGTGGACCTCTCCAGGCCTGAAGGGCCAGTGTCCTGCAGGTTTTAGATCTCACCCTGGGTCAACACACCTATATCAAATGATTAGTTCATTACCAGGCCTCTGGAGAACTTCAAGACATGTTGAGGAGGTCATTTAGCCATTTGAATCAGCTGTGTTGGATCAAGGACACAACTGCGAGTGGCTGCTTTGATGTCTTTTCGGTTGGTGGTGCACCTCTTGGTTGAAGACGCGAGTGTACGATCGTGTCACCTTTGACCAGCGTGTTAATGACACATCCATTCAGAAGCTCACAGATTCAGATTTTTATAGACCGACATGCTGCAGATGTTCAAAAAGATGAAACATTCTGTTAAAAATAAAAACACTTTTTAATGGCTTTGCTTCTAGTTTCGAATCTTCCTTTCATATGTGTGGTGGATCGTCTGAGTGGCGACACCTGTTGCTCAGGAGAAGACTGCAGCAGCTACCTGCGGCTTCACGGTCTACAGAAACGGATGTGACTGTGTGATTATGTTACTGTCAGACTTCCAGCTGTATGTTCTGCTCGCAGCCATTTCTTTTAGTTCCTGACATCAGACAAACTGAGCGTTAAAAACGGCCCCATTCAGCGATCAGTGCGGCTCTCCTCCCAGCTGTTACGTTAAAACAAGGATTTACAAGGAGCAGAACTTAAAGGAGTGCTGCCTGAAGGATTTCTAAAACGATGGAGGAAAATCAGCAGCACTGAAGTCAGGCTAGTTCAAATGTAATGGCAGTTGGCCAGAGAGATGGTGCAGTCCTGATCAAAAGTTTAAAACCACTTTAAAAATGACAACAACAACAAAAAAAAATTATATTTTGCATTTTTGGATCTCAACAAGGTTCCAAGTAGAGCTTCAACATGCAACAAGAAGAAATGTGAGTGAGACAGAAACTTTTTTCGAGCAATTTATTGAAAACAACACTTAAATCGAAACAGGTGATCAAAGGTTCAGGACCACGTGTCTTTAAATCGGTGCAAAAATGTGGATTCATTGTCATGTTCTGTCAGGTAGTCCTGATGGCAAAGGTAAACAAACCCTGAACGTGGTCGTGTTGCATAAACAGGGACGCAGTGAGACAGTCATTTGGAATTTCTTAAAGGATCCTGAGGGTTATGGAACAAAAGAATCAAGTGGAAGACCCCAAAAAATGTCACCAGCACTGAGCCGGAGGATCTGATTGGCTGTCTTTTGAGACACCGGACGATCCTCGACCCAAACTAAGGCCGTTACTGGTGCCGACTGCAGCCCCATAACCGTCGGACGGCATCTGAGACTGAAGGGCTTCAAAACCAAAAAAAAATTCTTCAGAACTTCCTCAAGACAAACGACATCACGTGGCAGGAAGAAAACACTGAAAACGAACCAAAAGTCAGCTGAGGGGGGTTGGGCCAATCCCAGCTGACACAGGGCGGGACAGGGGCGGGTACACCTGGACAGGTCGCTGGTCCATCACAGGTCTAACAAAGAGAGATGGACAACCAGTCACATTCATACCTACAGACAATTTAGAATCACAAGTTTAGCTGAACGTGCATGTGTTCAGACCGAATTCAAACCCTGGACTGTCTGTTGCACCGGCGCTAACCACTGGACCACTGTGCCACAGAGACCTGCTGGAGAGACTGAGAATGACGCTGATGAGATCCTCCTCCAACACAGGAGGAGACTTTAGACCTGGGAAGAAGAAGTGGAAGCTTCTTGCAGTTCTCCCTCAGCACAGGGTTGGGGAGCTGCATCGACGTTTTGAAAGCAAAACGTCCCGACGAAGCTGAACGGGGACATCGGGAAGGACACGACTGCAGGGCGGCAGGGAGAGGCTGGCAGGCTTCAAACGAGCGGGAAAACTCGTCTGCAGCCGCCGCCGCTTCATTATGTAAGTGGGTTTATTTTGAGAGGAGAACACTGCCACCCTGGAGACAGCGAGGCCTGTCGGCGCGGTCTGAGCGCCACACCGAGGTCATCGGAGGTCACTCCTTGTGTTTTAATTGCCACCTAAAGCGAGCCTCGGTGGGTTTCGCCACACACAAAAAAATATCCCACAATCCCGCTCTGCACAAAGTCTCGAGACTGGTGTGAGTCACACCTCTGCTCGCCACGATGACACACATGTGCCTGGCGCTGCGTGGTGATGCCGTAATGCGCCTGGCATCAGCAGCGACTCGGGATTTTAATACAGTACCTGGTGACTGACCCTCTGTCACTCCAGTGTCACATGTAGCCTCAATATGCTGGCACGCCGTCATACTGCCGCCGGACGGCCGGGCGAGGCCGCTGACAGACAAACGGGGGCAGCAGAGCGTCGCAATGTGGCCGCTGTGCGCGCTCCCCTGGGCGCTCTGCATACGTGGAGGGAAGCGAAGGTGGGGGGGTGTTTTGGCTCGAGTGCTGTCTCTGTGTTTGCACACACTCTCTGTCTCTCTCTCACACACACACACACACACACACACACACACACACACACACACACACACACACACACACACACACTGAAGGTCTCCCATGCCTGTCGCTGGCTAGTGCTGTCACCAGACGCCCCAACGCTGTCATAACACAGCACACCACAGTAATTGTAGATTTCACAGCACTCTGCGCTCCCCACCACGGCATATGACTCCAACACGAAGTGACAGGCCAGGACACAAACACACAGTCGCTCGCCCGCCTCGCTCCATTTCTCGTTTCTCTCCCCTCTGACACACACAGGCGTGCACGCACACACACAGGCGTGCACGCACACACACGTGCACACGCAGCCTGGACTCAAGGTTTTTTCTCTTCATTGAAAATTCTGCTGATTGCACATCCAGGCTGAGGGAACGGGCTGTACTCACAGTAAAAACACTCAACGTTTACCTGCGGACTCTGTTGGAGTTGTGTCACCTTTGTGTGTTTGCCCATAAAACCCACAGAGATTTAAATGCGCCTTATGTGCTTTTTAAAAAAATGCGTTTTATTAAGGTTAAGATTGAGATCTTTTACTTGTCATTGTAGGAAGACGCAGTTAAATTTCTTTTGTTGACTGTTAACTAAAGGATGTAAAACAAATTGTAACAACAAAGCTTTATGCAGACAACAGGAATGCGTCTCTTGCCTCTTCTTATTTGTGCGAGCTTCACCCTCACGTGCCGTCGAGTTCTCTTATAATAATGATGGATTGCATTTATATAGCGCTTTTCGAGACCCTCAAAGCGCTTCACAATTCCACTATTCATTCATTCTCACATTCACACACTGGTGGAGGCAGCTACAGTTGTAGCCACAGCTGCCCTGGGGCAGACTGACAGAAGCGAGGCTGCCATATCGCACCAGCGGCCCCTCTGGCCATCACCAGTAGGGTGAAGTGTCTTGCACAACGACCGACACAACGACCGAGGCCGTCCGAGCCGGGGCTCGAACCGGCGACCTTCCGATTACAAGACGAACACCCAACTCTTGAGCCACGATCGCCCCATGATCAGCTTAGATCAGCTAACCAGGCTTTTGTTTTTGTACAGCACTTTGGTCAGCTGTTCTGTTGTTAAAAGTGAAATCTTCTCGATTCAGTTTTATTTATACAGCGCCAAATCACAACAGTCGCCTCAAGGTGCTTTATACTGTAAGCTAGACCATACAGAGAAAATGTATATGACCCCTATGTGCAAGCATTTTGGCGACTGTGGGAAGGAAAAACTCCCTTTTAACAGGAAGAATCCTCCAGCAGAACCAGGCTCAGGGAGGGGCGGGGCCATCTGCTGTGATTGGTTGGGGTAAGAGAAGGAAGACATTGGTTTAATAGCAGGATTTTCTTTGAGTCAAGTTGGATGTTCCCTTAAAAAATCACAAAGGTTTCCTGTTGGGAATAACATCCAGTAATCACTAATGTCGCCTCGTTACTGGTTACCAACACAAACCACACATGAGGCCAGAGGCTAACACTGGTGTAGCTTTCTCAGGTAAAGTTGAGCCACCATGACATATGGAGTTCCACAAGGGCCTGCTTTAGGGCCTATTTTATGTCTTTATAAATGCTGCGTATGGGTCTGCTGGTGCGTATCATTAAGTGCTAAGAAGCACAGCACTGTGTAAAAGTCTTGAGCCAGGCCTTCTTTATGTGTTGCTGCAGTAATAGATGCAGTAATTTATTGAAACATGCAAACATACATGGAAATACTGACAGCCGCCCTTTCACGAGACATTTCTGAGGAGGCTTCAGTCAACAGTAGACGATCAGCTGAAGGTCCAGGTCATCTCTGATCTGTTGTAAATAAAAAGGAGAAGAAGAAATTCTTCTTTTGTGCTCCATATGCCAAGTTTTCAGCAAATTCTTTTCACCTTGTTGGTGCAAAAATACTATTTTATGTCAGATTTTGGCATTTTTCATAGATTCTACTAAAGAAATGGAAACACCTGCTGGTAACAGGTGCTCAGTTGTGTGTAGACATAACACTGATTCATGCTTTGAGTTTGAAGCTATTTCTGCTTGAATGAGTCGTAGGTGGTTTAACAAACATGAAACTGCGGTGAAAATGATCAAGTACATGGACTGCACTGAAAATGAGTGAAAAAGCCGCCAATGTCCAGAGAACAACTTAAAAATACCTTCAGATAATCTGGAGAACTATTTCTCAAGACCTGTTTAAGAATTACAAGACAGCCTGGCTCCTCGAGGCAAAATCTAAAGAAATGAGGCGTGGCTCAGCGCTGTATACGCTTGGTGTTCTGCTTCGTTTATTTCTCTGTTTGGAATAAGAGGCTCGGCCCTGCAGATGTTCCTGACGGGCAGAGCTGCTCTTTGTCATCACCGAGCCCGTTTCCTGCTCTCGTGCTCTGAATGTGACCTTCCTCTGGGCTCGTGTTTCTGATTCAGACCTCAGCGAGCCTCGTTCACTCAGAGCGTTTACTTAAATCTCACCGAGCTCAGAGCGGCGGGACTGCAGGTGGTAAACTCACCCTCTCCGTCCGAGAGCCAAAACCAGCAGCTCCCAATCCGATTGGAGCTCTGATTGCCTGTTAGAGGAGAGCTGTCTGTGGTGAGTGGTTGAGACGTGATTAAGCCTCAAAAAATGTATTAAAAAAAAACTCTTGTGTCACTCTGAGTTTTGTTTGGTTTACTGAGTGTCAGCTGATCAAAGCCTGACTCTGATCAGCTGACGTTGCTCCTTGCTCGCCGGATGTAAAGATGTCTGAGGAGCGCTGGTGTTCCTGCTCGCTTATGAACCTTTTTGTTATTATTGCATGTTCGAAAAAGATTTGCCTCACGTGTGCAAATAAACTTAAAATAATTGTATCTGTTCTGCTTCATATGGTTAACCACACTGATCCATCCCAGTCGGTAAAAAGCTTCAAAACAGCTTCAAAACATTTCTTCAGCACTATGAGTGAAGTAAAGTCCCTCGTGCCTCTCGTCGATGTGATGCTGATTAAAGGACTGCTTGTTGGTATGACGGGGCCTCAGCGGGGCCTCGACCCGGAGCTTGAGCCGCCGCTCTCTGACGGCTTTCTTGTTTGTTTGTTGTCGTTTGCAGTCGTGGAGGATCCTGCTGTTCGGGGTGCTCAACCTGCTGTGCACCGGCTGTCTGCTGATGTGGTGCAGCTCCACCAACAGCATGGGTGAGCACACACACACACACACACTCTCTCGGAGTCTCGGATGTTAACCGGCAGAGATACCTGTCGACACACCGTAAACACAGATTGACACACAGACACACACACACAAACACAGGCAGGATCGTCTCGCCGCAGGGGGTCAGGCTGATCCCGATGCTGCTGTGTGCGTGTGTCTGAGGCGGCGGCGGCGGGGAGGTCACCTCAGTCAAAATATTGCACTTTAAAGGGCACGTTGAAGAAACAGAGTCCTTCACAGCGTCTGCTTTCACCCTCCGGTGCTACAACACAGAGAACACATCTGTCATATTGACAGGCGCGCTTTATTTTTCCCTCTCCAAACTCAGCAGCACAGCAGAGCCGTTCCACCTCATAGCTCTGCTCGCTGTATATGAAAGAGACAGGTTTAAATCAGTCTCAGAGCTGTGCAGATGGGAAGGAGACGTCTGCTCACAGGTCGGTGGATTCATAGATCGGTGGGAATGATGCCGAGGAGAGAAACATTTCCAAAAGCCTGAAATATCGGTTGTCGCAGCTTAAACTCGTGTGAGTGTTACGAGCTCAGGTTTGATTATTTAGTGTTTGTGCTGATGCTCCGTCTGCCTCCAGCCGCAGGGTGAGGCGGCGTGTTTATGGTCAGCGAGGCCTGTGTATGCCCACCAACATTAAATCCTCTCAGGGATCCATCGCTCTGAAAAACGCTGCCATGAAAAGAACAACATGCAACTTTATCCCCTGCTCTGCCTGCAAATACTGCGGCATCAGACACACGCACACACTGAGACACGCACACACACGGGGTGGTGGCGTCGGGTGTCGCACAGACAGGAAGCAGAGAACAGAGGTATCGAACAAACAGGGGAAGGCGACACCGCTGTCGATACTCGGCCCCGAGGAGAACAACGGGCGCAGACAGCGGGCCGGTCTCAACGCTGTCAGACAGTCCTCTGCACCGAGGAAGTCTCCTCCGACCTCAGCAGCAAACACAACTTTAACCCAGGTTACGAGGAAGTACGACACGTGCTTGTGTTTATGGATGCACCCTTTGAGAAAAAGACAGCGACGCTCACGCTGTGGCGTCTGGTACATTCGTGTTTGTTGGGCGACGTTTGTGCAGCTCATGATTCCAGTCCAGGCTCCGCCCCTTTTTCTGGCATGTAAAGACACACTCCCTAATTGTATTTAGACTTGATACTGCTTACATTTAACTAAAACTGATCTAAACACAGAAACTAAGGCTACGTCCACACGTGCACGGGTATTTTTGAAAACGGAGATTTTCCGTTTTCGTTTTAAAAAATTATCCCGTCCACACGTAAATGCAAAAACGAAGTTTTCGGAAATCTCCACCCTGGCCGGAGTTTTTAGAAGAATTGCTTCTCTGAACTTTTCAGATGGAGCCACTGGAAAATCCTTCCTCCTAAAAACTCTGTTATCTGAGAGAATATGTTCTTCCTCATTCTTTCATCATCATGAGTGCAGGGGAGGGTGGAGCGGGTGGAGATGATGTTGAGCGATGATTTGAGACAGGAAGGTTTAAAGATTTCATATTGTTGTCTTTCATTTTCAGCTCATTGAGCAATTTTGTTTCATTTTTGTCAAACTATTCCGATTTATTTATGTCAATTAGTTATCAGCTGTGTGTGTGTGTGTGTGTGTGTGTGTGTGTGTGTGTGTGTGTGTGTGTCAGATCCAATGAGATCTCCTCCTGTCCTTAGCTGTTGGCTAATGACCCTGATGATGTGGAACGTTCACTGTTTATCTTCCACCTCATTAGTTTGAGGCCAATACACACACACACACACACACACACACACACACACACACGCACACACACACACACACACGCAAACACACGCACACACACGCACACACACGCACGGACACACACACACACACACACACACACACGTATGAGGCGTGGATGCACAGACCCTCACAGGTTCACACCTACACACTTATTTTTTAAAATTTTTGATTTCATGTGTGCAAAAAAAGATTTGCTGTGATTTTCAGAACTGGACACAGAGCTGTGATGCTGCTGTGATGTTGCTGTGCAGCATCACTGCAGCATCACAGGAGCCGACCAGCTCAGTTAAATCATGCCAACATTCTCAATGATGTCATGCTTGGAGACAAATCTAATGCCTCATTTACAGGCGACTTATTGGACATTTTTATGTAGTTTAACTTGGAGGCTAATTTGTTCGTACTTCACTGCAGCTGCTGGTGTTTTCTGGTGCCTTTGAAATAAAATGTGTACATCCAGCACCTGTGGTGCAGAGGCAGCCTTCATTTAAATGAAGCATAAGCCACATATATGTGACTCCCCCCACACGCACGCAGACGTGTCCCCGCTGACCTCCCTTTGCAGACACTCTTTAGCTCATGACTAATGGCTTAGCTGACGTTTAAATACACACCATAGATTTACAGCCATCAGAGGATGGCATGTTCTCTACAGTCAGTTTCCTGAACTTTTACCCTAATCTCAGCCTAATCTTACTTTATCCCAACCTAACAACACATCTACGCAAAAAAGGAAGAAATGAGGGTGGTTCAGGCCTTTTGCACAGCACTTGTATCCAGATGAAGGCATGTCAGGGTGGTCTGCATAACTGTAAGAAGCAGCAATGACGTCACTGCAGACAGAAGGAACCTGGTTTAAATGTTGGAGAGGAGCAGGTATTTAAAGCTAAATCAGAGGGAAACGTTACAGGTGGCATTTCATTTGTTACCTTATTGTCATTGTGAAAGCAAAAAGAAAGCCAGTGCTAACCTCACGTTGTGTGTAACTGCGACACAGAGAGACTATAAAGTGATCCTACAAATGATAAAATATACATCAAATAAACCAAATTAATGAAAAAATATATTTGAAGACATAAAAACACAGTCTGTAGTTACCTGTAAACACGTGCCTGTCTTGAATAAATGAAACTTCAGTCTTACATCACGAGCGAGCCGACTGAGATTGTCTAATATGATGAATCTGATTATTTATTAGCTGAAATCTGGACAAAGCAACGATGTGAATGTTCAGGTTAACGCAGGCTCCGTCAACGATGCCTAAAAAGGTAAATTCATAGGTTTAAAAACGGTTCAATGCAAACAACCACAGGCATCAACGGCGTTGGACGAAACCATCACTATGACACAGAAGAAGTCGAACCACGCTGCACCATTGTAATCAGGCAAGGCAAGTTTATTTGTATAGCACAATTCAACAACAAGGTGATTCAAAGTGCTTTACAGAGACATTAGAAACAAAAACAAGTAAAAAGCATGATTTAAAATTGATTAAAACAATCAAACAAACTAACTAACTAATTAACAAACAAACAAAACAGTATATAAAATCAAAACAGATAAAATCAGAACAGTAGATAAAATCAGTAGTTAAAATGTTAGTTTTGAAATTTAAGCTTAAAGTGTGGATTTGGTGCTTTATTCAAATGCAGCTGAGAACAGGTGAGTCTTCAACCTGGATTTAAATAAACTGAGTGTTTCAGCTGATCTGAGGCTTTCTGGGAGTTTGTTCCAGATATAAGGAGCATAAAAGCTGAATGCAGCTTCTCCGTGTCTGGTTCTGACTCTGGGAACTGATAAAAGACCGGATCCAGATGACCTGAGGGATCTGGAAGGTTCATACTGGGTCAGGAGGTCATTGATGTATTTTGGTCCTAAACCATTCAGAGCTTTATAGGCCAGCATCAGAACTTTAAAGTCTATCCTCTGACGGACAGGCAGCCAGTGTAAAGACCTCAGAGCTGGACTGATGTGGTCCACTTTTTTGGTCTTAGTGAGGACTCGAGCAGCAGAGTTCTGAATGAGCTGTAGTTGTCTGACTGATTTTTTAGGTAGACCTGTAAAGATGCTGTTACAGGAATCAAGCCTACTAAAGATGAATGCATGGACTAGTTTTTCCAGGTCCTGTTGAGACATCAGATCTTTTATCCTTGATATATTCTTGAGGTGATAGTAAGCTGACTTTGTTATTGTCTTAATGTGTTTTTCTAAGTTTAGGTCTGCATCCATCACTACACCCAAATTTCTCGCCTGGTTTGTGGTTTTTAGATGTATAGATTGAAGTTCTCTGGTGACCTGTAATCGTTTTTCTTTGGCGCCAAAGACTATTACCTCAGTTTTGTTTTTGTTTAGCTGGAGAAAATTGTGGCACAACCAGTCATTGATTTCCTCAATGCATTTACCAAGAGCCTGTACAGGGCCTCGGTCTCCTGGTGACATTGGGATATATATTTGTGTGTCATCTGCATAGCTGTGATAGTTTATTTTGTTGTTCTTTATAATCTGTGCCAGTGGGAGCATGTAAATGTTAAACAGAAGGGGTCCCAAGATGGAACCTTGGGGAACTCCACATGTGATACTTGTCTTCTCAGATGTGAAGTTACCTATTGATACAAAGTATTTCCTGTTTTCTAAGTATGTTTTGAACCAGTTTAGTACAGTTCCTGAAAGACCTGCCCAGTTCTCCAGTCGTTTGAGTAATATGTTGTGGTCAACTGTATCAAATGCAGCACTGAGATCCAGTAAAACTAGGACTGACATTTTTCCACTGTCTGTATTCAGACATATGTCATTAAACACTTTGGTCAGAGCGGTTTCAGTGCTGTGGTTCTGTCTAAAACCTGACTGGAAGGCATCGTAGCAATTATTCTGTTTTAAGAAGTAATTGAGCTGTTGAGAAACTGCTTTTTCAATGATCTTACTTAAAAATTGGAGATTTGAGATCGGCCTGTAGTTGTTCATTTGTGTCTTGTCAAGATTGTCCTTTTTCAGTATAGGTTTGATTACAGCAGTTTTTAGTGATTCTGGAAACACACCTGATAATAAAGAAAAGTTGACGATCTGTAACAGGTCTGACTCTAAAGTCTTTGAGACCTTTTTGAAAAAACTTGTTGGCAGGACATCTAAACAGCAGGAGGAGGAGTTCAGTTGACCTAAGATGTCCTCCAGGTCTTTGCTGTTAATAGGGTGAAACT